AGGCCAGGCAGTGCAGACTCGCAATCAATTTTTTTTTTAAATGTAAGTGGAGGGATATCATGCCTATATGAGGCATGTTGTGGCAAAATGGCTAAGTTGTAGCAAAAATTGAAATTCAAGTTATTGGTATTTTCAGATACCTGAGTATGTGATCTTTAAATTGAGGGGTCATTCATTGAAATTGGACATTTCAAGCCTAAGTTATTGGAAAGTGAAAGTACAGTACTTTTAGAATCAAGATAAACATGATTTTGAGTAATTGCCTTTCAAAGTTATTTGTGCATACACTGTTTAATAGAATGAACTATCAAAATAACATTAAATAAACAATTTCTTGACCATTTCCAGAACTAATACTTTGGTACATGATTAATCAGACATTAATCTGTTGATTTATAATGAAAAACAAATTTGGATTTTTAGGCAATTTTTTGAGCTCCCATATTTTATAGCTCATGTACTCAATACAGGCCTGTGCGACAACTTAACCATTTCGCCACGACATGCCTCATATAGCTTTTACTAACTACAGATCTCCCTCCAATTAAAGACCACTTTTGGGACTGGGGTTTCTATGGACTTTAGCAGCCTTGGTCTCTAATTAGAACAAAAAAGATAAAAGACATTTGTTAAGTTGGGACCACAGAAAGGTGGTCTGCAATTAAGGTGGTCTTTAATTGGAGGGGTCTTTAATTAGAGGGAGACCTGTATATTATAATGTACGGGTATTGCTAAACCCCGCACACCCCGCAAACCTCCAAGAAAACACCGCAAATCCCATCCAAACCTTGTGATAATGATTGAATCACATAGTATAGGACTCAACTTGGTACCTCAATAAAAAAAAAATCTTGATTTTATGTTCGTCACAACCTATATTTGGGGCAAACCCCATCCAAACCCTGTGATAATGATTGAATCACATAGTATAGGATTCAATTTATATATATGTGTGTAAATAATTGCCATATTTACATACCAATATATATATTATACCTATATATAGTACCAAACAATACATTATTAATACATAAACTATGAAACAAATATTTAACAGTACAGTGGCAACTACTGTAGTTGTACACTATAATTGTGATGACAACAGGTTATTTATTACTTTTTAAAAATATATGAACTATTTTATTCATTTCAATATAATTATTCCTGCAAAAAGTAACATAAATGGTAACTTGTTTGACATTACCAGTTGATTTTTTTTTTTAAATCAAAGTTATTTTAGTTTTCAAATGTGCATGGTTTATGTTGATTTATTTGCTACAGAGTATTTTACAGCATTTAAATTTTTTTTACTGAATTTGGGGCCATTTTTTTTTATCGAATGAATTCTTGCTATTTTAACAGTATTAAAATATTTTAAGATTATAAAAAAGTCATTTTTAATTACTGACTTTTTTTATAGGGCCATTTTTACCTACCTGGCATTTGGGGCCATTTTTACCATGGCCATTTTGACCAGGGCCATTTTTAATGTACACCACATAATTCATGGGACAATTGTGCCAACCCATTACTATGACACAAAAAGAACCAATAGGGAAAACATATTATAAATTGTTGACAATGAATTAGAATCACTAAAGCTTTTACCTCTAAAAACAACCTTCCTTTACTTTACACTGATGGGGTGTTGAGTTACACAAACTAATGACCACTACTACGTAGTTGGTGTTGCAGATTGTGTCTAAATATGGTATACTGTAATACATGTACCACTAAATTTATAAAAACTAAATAGTCAATGGGCCCTTTAGTATATTTGTATGTTTGGATTTAATAAAATTAAATTACTGTATAGTGAAATTAATCCAATCCTAAATTGATATTATTATTTAGAAATGTTAATGTACAACTTGATTTATCCAAATTTGTTTATGATTGTCCCTCACAGAGGAAGACTGTCCTCTTTTTTAAGACTATGCTTCTTCTACGAGCTTCTAGCCTAAAGATTTGAAATAAAGTTGGATGTTGACCAGAACGAAACAAAATGAGGTGGTGAGTGGTATGCCAGGCAGTGCAGACTCACATTCAATTTTTGTTTGTTTGTAAGGGAGGGATATCATGCCTACTGCTTCACTAAAACTATATTATGAACTAATTATCAATTCATGAGCACATTTGAGTCCATCTGTATTCAATAACATTAATTACTTCCTGGGCTTGTACTGGAATGAAGGCTAGCAGTATAAGCTATGTATGCTGTAAAGTATTATAAGTTTTGAAGCGCCCTCTCTACATATTCTGTATCTCCCAATTGGTATATATCCTGGTTGTTACCATGTGTGAGGGAGAGATGATCTTGGAATTGGTTACGGCACATCTCTTGACACCATTTTGTTATTTAAACTTTTAGCAATTTTTGTTTTAAACTTTTGTTGTTTTACAACTTTGATCAACCAGTTGATTCATTTTTTGATGTGTCGACGACACTTTTGTTTGGATTTTAAATG